AGGAGGATAGAGGTTAGAAGAAACTCTATCATGAAAATACCCAAAACAAAATGGGGCTCGCGGAGTGTGGCTCAAGTAGTCAGGCTTTAGTAATGCTGACTGAGCGTTCCCATTTAAAAGCATAAAGTCCGGCTGGTTGTGGTGGCAAGCACCTATAACCCCAGCACTTAGCAGGCTGAGGCAGGAAGGTCATGTGTTCAAGACCAGCCTGAACTACACAGCAAAAAAACAGTAACAAAACAAAACCAGGGAATAAAGCATAAATTCCCTTTGGGTAAACAACCCACAAAGGCCACTTATTTAATTAGAATAATTAATTTACTTGACTCATATTTATTTAGACACTCTTGCATTTATAGCAAAATACCTTCTTGTGTGTGCCACACGTCTGTCATCTCTAAGGATCAATGGAAGATGAAAAACAGTATCTTCGTAGTCCCACTACAGCTTCCAGGTGTCGTCCAACTTGTATGATTATTATAATACTATGTGACAATAAATGGAAGAAACCCAGCCCAGGTTCTGGAAAAAAATGCCAAGTAAATCAGAAATGAGTTTGGTACAGCTGAATCCCTAAGCATAGCCCTGTGGTAGTAATGGGGTGGATTTCTCTCCTATGAAAGTGTCATTACCGTGATATGACATGACACAGGAGATGACTAAGAGAAACACCATGGCAGCTGAGACCTATGTGACCTTGGTAAGAAGGCAAGGCCACTGATGCCAGCCAAGACAAAAACCAAATTGTACCCCATAACTGCAAGTGATCCTTTCAGGCAGAGAGCTTAGTGCCAGCTGGATGAAAAAGCATCCAGAGACATGCTTTCCTGAAAAGTACACTGGAGTGCATAGCTGAGGAAGCTGTGTGACCAACTCAGATCGGAAGTGGATTAAAGTCCTGCCTGAATCACTCCGCCCCCCCAGTCTTCTACTTCTTCATTTGCAAAGGGAAGGAACTGGAATTCATGGTGGCTGAGCGCTCTCTGAATCCTGAAAGTCTTTAATTTCTAAAAGTAAATCTCCAAAAAATTAAAAATATCCAGACACACAGAAAAAAATCTTAGCCCTGAAGAGGGAAGTCTCATAGCTTCACCTGTTGATAATAAAATGTCCAGTGAGAAAAGTAAAATCCAGAACATCATCAGGTGTCATGTTACCATGGCAACCTAGTAAACTGGCCCAACTCCATCAATGACGGTCTGAAGACAGGAACGGATGAACACCCCGTGCTAAGATAAAGATGCGCAAATACTTTAGTTAGATGCCAGCCCAGGTTCACCCCATAGTGGCCGTCTGCACCATGGAAAACTCTGCAGTAATTAAAAATAGCTCAAAGAATACTATTTATTCCAGTAAACAGATGTCATCAGATGAAAACCCGGTAATTCACATTCAGTGAGTTTCAAATTTTCACAATGATTTTAGAAGACCTGATTCCCAATATTTTTAAACAAATGGAGAAACTGAGGCATGGAGAGGTTAAGTGACTTGTCCAAAGTTACACTGTTAGGTAAGGCAAAGCTAGAGCAGTTGCTGTTGTTTTGTTTTTTTGGTTTGTCGGGGGGCAGGGGGACACAGGGGGGTACTGAGGTTTGAAAGCAGGGCCTCATACTTGTTCATTGTGTGCTCTACCACTTAAGCCATGCCACTGGCCCTTTTTCTTTTAGTTAGTTTTTCGCTGGGGTTTCATTGCACTTTCTGCCTGAACCAGCCTGTGACCACAATCCACCTGGGATTATTGGTGTGCAATACCACATCTGACTTGTTTATGGAGATGGGAGTCTTGCTAACTTTTTGCCTTGCTGACTTCCAACCACATCATTCTTCCAGTCTCCACCTCCCTAGTAGACAGAATTACAGGTGTAAGCCACCACACCTGGCCCTTAAGGATTTTTCTTTATCTTCCTTCCTTCCCTCCTGCCCTCCCTCCTCTCTTTCTTCCTTCTTTCCTTTCTTTCTTTTTTGTGGTACTAGGGTTTGAACCTAGGGCCTTGTGCCTCAGTTCTTACTCTTACGAGCTCCTCACATCACAACAGTAGCTTTTGTGGGCTCTGTTAGAGGAGACACCAAGGCCTAACATTAGATGGATCCACAGTGCCTGACAGTTAAACCCCTAGGAAAGGTACAAAATGAACAGGGACAGGAGGAACCTGGGAAGAGCCTGAATTTCCACTCCAGCCCTGAATAACCAGGGAGACAGGAGGCCATGCACAGAGCTGCTGAGATGCAGGGAGTGAGGACCTGGCCTAAAAACTCCAAAGACACTTTTCCCCTTTATCATCACCAACATGTGATTACCAAGTCACTTGAGTTTCTTAGGCCAACTTTTGCTTTTAATGAAAAACACCCCAAAGCTAATGGGGTGTTTGATGGGTGCCTAGTATATACCAGATAATGTGTGTGCTATTCCCACTTTTATTGTTTTATTTGACTCACAAAATTTTTGCTAGGTGAAGTGTTTTCATCCATCTTTTCCAGATGAGGAAACATACCACATGAATGGTAGGTGTAAAATCTTTTTTTTTTTTTTTTTTCTTTTGGAAGTACTAGGGTTTGAACTCTGGGCCTCATGTGGAAGGGACGTTGTTTTCTCATTCCCTCCCTTGTTGGAGTGAGCTTTCTCTCTTGCTCTTGGTTATTACTGAACCTAACTGAGCTTAACTGGGAGTGACTGGAGATTCAGAAAAGACATAGGATAGACAGACAGAAAGTGGGGTCAGGTGTGTTGGACGCTCAGGTGGAGATGCCCAACCCTCATTGCTTCTTTTCTCTAGCTTGATTCTTTAAGGCCTTACTCCTTGCAGTTCTTTAAAACCCTGCTTCTAAAGTTTTCTTTAAAACCTTGCTTGAAACTTCTTTCCTCAGACTCACACTGCCCCATGTTTTCTCTCAGCTTATCTTTAGCTTTATCGCTTTTGCCTCCAGGCTTACAGCTTTTCTTTATTTTTTTCTTTTATTCATATGTGCATACAATGTTTGGGTCATTTCTCCCCCCTCCTCCCCCTTCCCCCCCCTTACCCCTTGCTACCTGGCAGAAACTATTCTGCCCTTATCTCTAATTTTGTTGAAGAGAGAATATAAGCAGTAACAGGAAGGACCAAGGGTTTTTGCTAGTTGAGATAAGCTATACAGGGAGTTGACTCGCATTGCTTTCCTGTACATGTGTGTTACCTTCTAAGTTAATTCTTCGTGAACTAACCTTTTCTCTAGTTTCTGGTCCCTTCTCCTATTGGCCTCAGTTGCTTTAAAGTATCTGCTTTAGTTTCTCTGCATTGAGGGCAACAAATGCTATCTGCTTTTTGGGTGTCCTACCTATCTTCATACCTCCCTTGTGTGCTCTCGCTTTATCATGTGATCAAAGTCCAATCCCCTTGTTGTGTTTACCCTTGATCTAATGTCTGCATATGAGGGAGAACATACGATTTTTGGTCTTTTGGGCCAGGCTAACCTTTAGCATTCTCTCTTTAGCTTTCTTAAAGCCTCGGTGTTCATACTTGCAAAGTCTTGGTCCTCTATCCTGCACTCTCCCATGTTCTCTTTGGCTTTTCTTTAGCTTCTAAAGCCTATATTAAAGTTCTTTCTTTGGCTTTCTTTTCTAAGTACTATGTTATAGTTCTCCATGGGTGCAGACTTTCTATCAACCCCTCTTTAGCCATACTTTTCCCTTCAGCAATTTCCCTTTAGCAATTCTTTTCCCTTTAGTAATTCTTTTCCCTTCCAAATGTTTCCCACACCGAAAAGCCGAAAGGCAAAGTCCAATTCCCCCCTCCAAAACAAAAGCCAAAGGCAAAAAGCAAAAAACCCCCAGCCCTCCTTCAGCCAACCTTTTACAAATGGCGGAGCAGATTAGGAGATATAGCTGTTCTGCTTTTTTCTGGTTCATGGCCAGGGCTGTGATTATCTCGGCCTATAGGTAAAAGCAATTAAGCCACATCTCACCTTGCTGACATTCAGGTTTCATAGGCTTTTCATAATCTGCTCTCCACACTCATGTTTGCTAGGCAGGTACTCTACCACTTGACCCCCTCTGCTAGACCAAGGTGTAAAAATCTTGAGTCAAGCTAAGATCTACTGCTCCAAAGCCACTCACTCCACCATGTTGCTGGAGCCTTCTTCCAGCCTTTGGTCCATTTGGGTGCCTGAGTTGGGCCAACCAGTCACTTCCCCTAAGGGGACAAACTCTCCATCTTCTTGAACCAGCCTCTTAAACAGCACAGCAGGATGTATCTAGAGTCTACCCAGAGGCACTAAGTTTAGAATTCATTTTTTGAGAGAAAAAACGCAGGCAACAAACAACTTGGCTTGCAAGTAAAGTTGGTCGTACAACTTGTCTTAGCAAATAAAAAATATATATATATATATATATATATTTAAATTTTTCACCCAGCTCACAACAGATCCTAGAAGTCCATTTCAAAGAAACAGCATATGAGCCATGAAGAAGAACGAAATGTTATCATTCGCTGGTAAATGGATGGAATTGGAGAACATCATTCTGAGTGAGGTTAGCCTGGCTCAAAAAACCAAAAATTGTATGTTCTCCCTCATATGTGGACATTAGATCAAGGGCAAACACAACAAGGGGATTGGACTATGAGCACATGATAAAAGCGAGAGCACACAAGGGAGGGGTGAGGATAGGTAAGACACCTAAAAAACTAGCTAGCATTTGTTGTCCTTAACGCAGAGAAACTAAAGCAGATACCTTAAAGCAACTGAGGCCAATAGGAAAAGGGGAACAGGTACTAGAGAAAAGGTTAGATCAAAAAGAATTAACCTAGAAGGTAACACCCACGCACAGGAAATCAATGTGAGTCAATGCCCTGTATAGCTATCCTTATCTCAACCAGCAAAAACCCTTGTTCCTTCCTATTATTGCTTATACTCTCTCTACAACAAAATTAGAAATAAGGGCAAAATAGTTTCTGCTGGGTATTGAGGGGGGGGAGAGGGAGGGGGCGAAGTGGGTGGTAAGGGAGGGGGTGGGGCAGGGGGGAGAAATGAACCAAGCCTTGTATGCACATATGAATAATAAAAGAAAAAAGAAAAAAGAAAAAAAAAAGAAACAGCATATGCACAAACAATATTCAGAAAGGAGCAACAGGCTTGTCCTGGGCAAGGTAGGCAAAGACCGAACTTACATTTATGTCGAGACTGCAAAGGCTGACTGCATCTTCATCCTGAGCACTCTGCTTCCGTTTCCGCTGCAAAATGAACAAGAAGACAAAGTTCAAATGTAAACAGGGATTGTGGCTTTGATGAAGGAAGGAAAAGAAGCAATCAAATAGCACAAGCAATCCTTATCATGTCCACGTTTAATCAAGGGATGTAAACCAACAGTTGAAAGAATAAAGGGAGGCTAGGAAGAGTTGGGATGATCAGTTTGTGTCACTCTTCTTGTTCGTGCTGCTATACTCTCTTTTTGTATTTCCTTTTTTTTTTTTTTAAATGCTTCCACATAACATTTAGAAATTTAGACACCAGAGTCAGATTCTAACTGGCTTGAATGGACAGACTAACCTAGAAAGGAAATTGAATTCACTTGGAGAAACTCTGTTCTCAGAGCTGCTTTGTAGTTGGGTAGCTTAACAGTGGCTCTAAACCTCATCCAGGGTCCTGATGCAACCACAGAACCACAATGTTGGAAAGAACCTTACACATTTCCCTAGTCTTCCCATTTCATAGCCATAAAAAACAAGATGCAAAAAAGTCATCACTGAACTAAAGTGTTTGCAGAATTGTGGTTTGAACTCAGAGCCTCATGCTCCAGGCATTTTTTGCCTGGAGCAGGTTTCAGACTGTGATCCTCCTATTTCTACTCCCATCTAGCTGAGATTACTATGTATCACCTGGCTGGGCTTGTAGGCTAAGATGGGGGGGGAATGTGTGTCTTATTAACTTTTTGCCTGGTTTGGACCCGAACTACAATCCTCCTGATCTCCGCTTCCTGAGTAGCTAGGATTGCAGGCATGCATCACCACTCCCACCCCTCTAAACAATATTTGAAATGAATTTATAAATTTATGAGCAGGGCAGCTTGCTAAGTTAGAAAGAGAAAATATTTTCCATATTTATAAGAAATAAATCCATTTATAAACCATAAGAAAATTTATCAAAGAGCAGTGTGCTGGTGGCTTACTCCTATAATCCTAGCTACTTGGAGGGCTGAGATCTCAAGGATTATAGTTCCAGGCCAGCCAGGGCAAAAAGTTCACAAGACCCTCTCTTAATAGAAAAAGCTGAGTGTGGTGGTGTGCATCCAGATATGGAAGGAAGGGTAAAATGGGAGGATCCCAGCCCAGGCTAGTCCAGGCAAAAAGAGAGGTCCTGTTTCTAAAATAACCAGAGGAAAAAAGGGCTGTAGGTACGGCTCAAGTGAGCATGGTTGTGCACGCCTGCAATCCAAGCACTCAGGAGGCGGAGGTAGGAGGATGACAGTTCAAGATCAGCCCAGGCAAAGTTAGATCAAGACCTTTTTATAAAGAACAAACTAGAAGCTAAAAGATGGGGGTATGGCTCGAGCGGTAGAGCATTTGCCTAGAGTTTAATCCCCTGTATCCCAAAAAAAAAAAAAAAAAAAAATTCAGACTGTGATCTCTGCTATGAATGAATCAGATAAGGTGCTGAGGCAAACAGATAAAATAATTGACAGAGAAAGATAATTTTATTTGATTGATTGTTTCCTGCTTTTTAATTGACCTTTTCATGAGATCTAGACTGTAAAGACAGGATCATATTCCAGAGCCTGGTACATGGCTGCCTTCTCCTAAAATAGGATTGCTTGATTCTTTTGTTGATGCCCTTGGCCCCGCTCCCTTTGAGAAGCTTGTCCTCTTCACCAATCACCCAACTCCTGGGGGACTCAGATGGTGAGAGCAGAAAGGACCAAACGAGCACCCATTCCACCAGGTAGGTGGCTCAGTCAACTCTGATGATGAGGGATAGGCAGGGCCAGAACCACACACTGGCACCGGAATTGAACAAATATTGGCGAGCTGGTTTGTGTCACTGGCTCATGGAAAAAGTCGCCAGGTGGAAATAAGCCACAGAGACATGGACGAGTAAGACCTCAGGAAGAAGAGCTGTAGCAGGCCACTGCACTCACTCTGAACTTCAACAAAATGACCAATGACAATAATAACCATGGTAGCTTCACCCCAGTCAACATCCCCACGCGTCTCTCAGAGCCAAATCCTGATCTGGGGACCTCACTGGATCCTTACAACCACATCACGAAGCAGGGAGGGATCGGCATCATCTCCACTCTGCAGAGTTGGAGACAGAGGCTCAGACAGGGGGAGGGACTTGCCCATAGCTTCCTAATTAGCAAGTGGCAGAGCCTGGACTCAAACTCAGGTCTCACTCCAAGTGGCCTGACTCCCCATGGTGCTCCCAAGTCTGGGACAGCACGTGTGTGGGACCTGCAGAACACGAGGGAAGTGGGAGGAAGCACCTTTATAACTTTTCTCCTCGAGCCGTGGACTTGGAGACTCCAGGATGATGTCCAGACTAAATCAGTTTTGTGGTCCTTTCTTGTTGTAAGAGCTGTCACTACCTACTGTCTGCCTACTCTCGGGTCATGACCATTTTACTTCTTCTGGACATCACAAGATATAAGCAGGTGACCTGGGGGAGTGCCTAGGCAGGAAGGTCACTGTGTGAACCATGCATTTACACACTCCATCTGCCAGGCTCCCTGAGGGGCTAAGGAATCACTCTGTGATTCCTGTCAAGCTTACTGAAGTAAATGTACAATCCACTTCCCTTTTGACCAGGAAACCAAAGTCCCTCAGTTGAGCCTGATAACGGTGCCATGTAGAGTCTGTGCTCTGATTTCAGCACGAGCCTTCTTTACACCGCCTCCCCCAGCACCCTGTGATCAGTGGTGGGTCAGTCAATAATTTCCAAATGGGTGACTCAAAGAAAGAAAGAATAAAGGAGGCCAGTGTTCTGAGGTGACACCCTTCCCTTCCGCTAGCCACCTGGCTGCCAAAATTAAACCGACACCTCAAAAGCAAAGGTCACTGAAGGCTGAAATTCTTCAACCTCAAATTTCCTTGGATATTTAAAAACTGCCAATTCCAGCTCAAGTTCTTGCTTTTCAAATAAGAGTCTTTTCCTTACCAGCCGGGGCACTGATTTGCCTTAAAATACATAGACATGCTGAAGGAAGTCATAGCAGTTCAGACTTTGGGCCAAGTGGGACACTGGCGCCTCCTAGGAGAGGGAAGGTCCCATGTGCTCGGAGGAAGGCACATCCCCGACCAACCGATCTGCCCTGGCTCTGAGCAACAGCAGGACTCGTCTCTGAGCCTTAGGAACATGTCACCACACCCGGTAACGCTTCACAATGGAAGGACCCAGGTGAGCCAAACCACAAATGACTGCTGTGGGCACCTGGATTCTTTCGTCCACACTTTGCCAACCTGGGGGACGGGAAGAGGAAAAGCAGTGACAGAGGAGAGTGGTGGGACCAACGGGCCTGGGTACATCTGGTTCCTCATCCCTGCAGGCTACCTGGTTCATGGAGAGACTATCTAGAAGTAAGTTTGGGTGCTGAAACGCTTTCATGCTTCTCCAATCAAAAAACTGCTGGGCGATAAAGGAAATGCAAATTAAAACCACACTAAGATTCCACCTCACCCCTGTTGGAATAGCCATCATTAGCAACACCACCAATAACAGGTGTTGGCGAGGATGCGGGGAAAAGGGAACCCTCTTACAGTGTTGGTGGGAATGTAAACTAGTACAACCACTCTGGAAAAAAATTTGGAGGCTACTTAAAAAGCTAAACATTGATCTACCATTTGAGCCAGAAATACCACTCTTGGGGATATACCCAAAAGACTGTGACACAGGTTACTCCAGAGACACCTGCACACCCATGTTTATTGCGGCACTATTCACAATAGCCAAGTATTGGAAACAGCCAAGATGCCCCACTACTGACGAATGGATTAAGAAAATGTGGTATCTATACACAATGGAATTTTATGCAGCCATGAAGAAGAATGAAATGTTATCATTCACTGGTAAATGGATGGAATTGGAGAACATCATTCTGAGTGAGGTTAGCCTGACCCAAAAGACCAAACACTGTATGTTCTCCCTCATATGTGGACATTAGATCAAGGGCAAACACAACAAGGGGATTGGACTTTGATCACATGGTAAAGCGAGAGCACACAAGGGAGGGGTGAGGATAGGTAAGACACCTAAAAAACTAGATAGCATTTGTTGCCCTTAACGCAGAGAAACTAAAGCAGATACCTTAAAGCAACTGAGGCCAATAGGAAAAGGGGAACAGGTACTAGAGAAAAGGTTAGATCAAAAAGAATTAACCTAAAAGGTAACACAAAGGCACAGGAAATCAATGTGAGTCAACTCCCTGTATAGCTATCCTTATCTCAACTAGCAAAAACCCTTCTTCCTTCCTATTATTGCTTATACTCTCTCTTCAACAAAATTAGAGATAAGGGTAGAATAGTTTCTGCCTGGTAGTGAGGGGGATGGGGGGAAGGGGGGAGAAATGACCCAAACATTGTATGCACATATGAATAAAAAAAAAAAAAAACAAAACTGCTGGGTGCCAGCAGCTCACACCTGTAATCCTAGCTACTTGAGAGACTGAAATCAGGAGGACAGAAGTTCGAGGCCAGCCCTGGCAAATAGTTCCCAAGACCTCCATCTTCAAACTAACCAGAGCAAAATGGACTGGAGGTGTGGGCTCAATCGGTAGAACATCTGCTTTGCAAGTGTGAGGTCCTGAGTTCAAACCTCAGTTCCAACAACAAAAAAGCCTCCAGGAGGACTCTTTGTTAATGGGCAACAGAGCATAGCTCTGCAAACAGTGGATGGAAGGTCACAAGGCGATGTCTGTGTCACTGGTTGGAACAGATGACCTCAAATAGAAACTTCCCATCAACCCTATCATCCTGCAGCCTCAGTCTTCTCCTTCACCTTGCACCCCACAGACCGATCCATTTTTACCACGCATTCTTATTTCCTGGACTGCTCTGGGGAGCTATCCTGTTAACTTGACTACCTTTAGACAGCACAAGGCAGATAATGAAATCGCATCAGTAAATGACCTGTGAACAAAGCCCTTCTTCTGTCCTAGGGACAGAAGCACTCTCTGTGAAGTGCTCTCTGTGAAGGGCGCTTATCCAGTCCTTTGCTGACCCAGTCTCAGGGAGCCAACCCT